AACTCAACCCTAACTACAGAAAAGGGTTTTCTGAAGAGATTTACCGCTGCAAAATGTATGCCCCTTTTTCATATTGTGTTACAATATGAACGTGTCACACACTTTCACTAAAGTATGTATGCATAACACCCAAACAAGGGATTTCAGCTATGACTTCTTCACTTAGCTACACTAAAGATCGGTCCAGGCTAAAACAATGAAGATTAGAGACTGAGTAGTGAAACATTCCGGCGAGGCTGTAAATCCTGTTACCTACTGTAACCTAGGTAAGTGACACTAAGTTTTACAACCTTAGAGACCCTATGAATGTCTTCCTAGGAGGCAGTTTCAGACTCCATGACAAACAGCTGATTATCACATTTATAATGATGGTTCACTAGGAAATAAAGTCTTTACTCACGTAACTCCAGACTTATTCATACCTACATTTAATTTATAACCACCATATACTAGTGGGTAGGTAGATATGATCAAAGGTCTTTTGGGGACTCTTCCTCCACACACCTTTCACTCCCCACTCCCCTTAAACCTCCTACACAAAGTCCCTCCGCTTTAAGTCCAAAGGTCAATTCTGGATTAAAACTTGCCTGAACTAAGTTAATAGGAGATTAACATGCAAATAAGGTGATAAAGTTAAATCTACTTGTAAATAGCAAACATTATAAATGCATGCTACTATTCCGTTAAGCAGAAGAACTGGAGGAACCACAAAGGTAACAAAAAACCACATGAAGTTTCAAATTTTAACGTAATTTCATTTTACAGTGGTTCAATTTACCCACCAAATGCTGAATGACCACAAAATGTTTCTGCAGCTAAAAGTAAAAGATAGGGAATTACAGGAGTTGGGAATACATGTTAGATACTAACGACCTTCAAGCTTTGAAGATGTCATTGCATGAAGAAAATTATGGGAAACGCTGTTCCCGACAATTACGTACACCCTCAGTGTAACATATGGAGGTCACTGCCTCCGATAGAGACACTGTAGTAGGCAAAAGCTACCTTGTTCTTCATACATTATAGAAGACACTGCTTCCGATAATGTGTTAGGATTGCGACAAAGGTACTGGAAATTTTGCAACATGGGAATTAGAGTTATACCTTGGATAAACGGAGCTATAAAATTTTGGAGTACTACCACAGCCTTTAAGTGACATTTATTTAAAACTTGGTCACAAGTCATTGCATTTAGGAAAACTATCATTTTTATCTGGTCAGTGCTCACTTCTTAGCAACCCCTAATTAAATATAATTCATCTCTAGATCTTAGCTTCAACTTTATTCAATTACATTTGGCTTGAGGCTGTTTTCTAAAACCCCTAAGTGTTGACCATAAATGCAAAACTTCCAATATCTGTTGGGTTTTATTAGCAGATGCTGCTTTTATTTAAAAAAAAAACCGACAGTATAACTGTCATAATTATGGCAGGCACTGCTTCCGATAATTATATTCTATTAAAAAACACTATTTATAGTGAACTCTGTCATTGATAAATAAACAATAAATATTTCAGTGCCAAAAGGACAGAAAGCTTTCCTGTAAGAAACACTTTGGCCAAAATGTGGCAGTGTATTCTTCAAAGTGTGACAAACTGAGTCTGAAGTTAAACACCTGAAACTGGTTCTCTTTCAATGTACTTTGGAAGAAACAAAAGTAACAAAGAACTAAATGGAGGCTTGGGGGGAAGGGGCAGATGAAAAGAAAATACTAAGTCTTTGGCTTCTGCTCCCCTCTTCTCATAAATGACACTAGATTAATATATTAAGGCCTTGTTCCTGCAATCAACAGTTGAACCTCATTTTCTCCAGCAGAAGGGCCTCCATTTCAGACTCAATGGCAAGAAAATAAGTCCCATCTCCTCTGAAAGTTAACGGTTTCTTTCAGGAATGAGGAAATCAGCTAAATTCCTTATGGAAAGGCTTAGATCTCATTTGGAGATAATAAGGTCTTACAACCTGGTATCTCTATCTAGCATCAAATGAAGTTAGAGGATTGCTCTAAGTAAGTTACCACTTATAACCTTCAGCAGAGACCAGCCCTTAGGATTTAGAGCAATAGTTCACATCACTGGTTTCTGACATTTTCATTAATAACAAGAAAGAGGAAGTTACCATTACCAAGCACTTAAAATTATAGAGATACAATATTCCATCATGAACACTTTTTATGTAGTCATTCACTTTAACTTGAAGTGCATGTATCTACCCCATATTAAAAGCTGCTGCCTAAAGACATATAGTAGTACCAAGATCATTGGATGGAATTTTCACATCAGGTTTTGTAGCCCTACTGAAAATTTAGCACAAGTGTAGAAATCAGACTGCCCTGCTGTTTTGACATAACTTATGGGTATTATATTTAAAACTCATTGTCAATGTCCCAAATGTCACCAGAGAGGGCATTTACAGCTCCCTGAATAGTCCAAGTAGCAAGAGCCAACTGGTTTCTGAACAGCGTTTCATTAAATGCACGGTTATTTGTTTTACACAGTTTCAGGTTCTCTAGTAAAGCTGACAGCGTGTGAGAGCCAGAGCCCCAGAAGATAGGCCGGAAAGGAGACTCTCTTGGAGACACATAGGGTGAGAGGAAGTAATATTCCACTTTCATGATACGATCGTTGAGTTCCTTCATGACAAATCTGTCTGTTTTCTCAGAGTTCTTGAAATCTGAGATGAGTCTGGAAGTAGCGCGGAAAAAGTCCCCGCAAGCAGAATACAGCCACTGCAAACTCAGGCTCATTTCCTTTATGTCTGCTCTGTATTGGTTCAGATTCCTCAGAAACGAAAACAGTTGGCTGTTATACCTCTCATAATCCAGGTTTAATTCAACATCATGGGTTAGTTTAATCATGAACTGACGAGCTACTTCTGCAGCTGCTCGTGCCACTTTGTTCAGCTGAGGAATTTTCTCGATCAGTTCCTTATAGGTATCCATGGTGGTACCCAAATAAGGGTAATCTGTGTCCTCGCAAAAACAGAAAGAAACTGCTGGGATTCCAGAATATGCAAGGAAAGGAAAAGCAGCATTGCCAAAAGTGAGTTTCTCAACTTTGTTGGCCCAGTTGCTGTCCTGATAGAGAGACAGACCAGTAACTGGATGTTTCACCTCTTGCATTGTTTTCTCAATAAGCGAATACAACAATGGGCTGGCAGAAAACTTGAAGTTGCTGGTACCAAGAACAGCTTTATCCAGATTAATGTAAGTGAAAGCCTTTAAATGCAAGGACGAAAGGTATCCCTCTAGCCATTCAGTGGCACCAACCGATCCAAAGTCTCCAGCACTCCAACTGGCAAATACAATGCTTCTGCTGGGCTGAAACCCATCTTTTAAGCCCATATCTGAGAACATCTGGGCAAGTTTCAATAGGAGAGCTGTTCCGACACTGGACTTTGCAGCTCCAGGACCCCAGGAGTCTCTCTGGGCCCCAACTACAACATAGCAATCTGGTTCTACAAAGCCTTTAATAACTCCAAAGATGTTAAGAATTTTTATCTGTTTCACCACATTGCTCACAGAGAGCTTCACGCTCTTGTTTTGTGAGGTTACCATCCTGCATGAAGAGTCGGTTTTCCAGTCGGAAGGACAGTCTCCTTCCATATTTTCAAACAACCTTTCTGCAGCAGCTCTGGAGATTGTTTGGACAGGTATATTAGGCAATCCTGAGGACTGAGACGGTGGAAACTGAGTGTGATTGAAAGAAGGGAACCCAGGTGTGTAGGGGTCGCCTGTTCCCAGATGAGCATGTCCAAAGAATGAAATGTCTGCATTAAAAATGGGAAATTTAGTCTTGTCCATGTATATCAAGACACCAATTGCATTTGAACTTTCAGCATTTGCAACCTTTTCTGCAAAGGTGATTTTTCCTGCTCTAACAATCACTATAGATCCATTCACAGGAGAGTGTAAATCCTCAAAATCTTTTTCAGTACCAAAATTAGCATGGACCAGTTTACCAGTAACTGTTGCGTTCTGACTATATGCCACATAACCTCCAGGATTCTCCACCAGGGTAAACAAATTCACTGTTCGTACCAGTTATGGTCACTGAGTTTTGAGCACTGTCTTTGACCTGAATCTTAACAAAATGTTCATCACGCCAGACTTTGCTTAGTTTACATTCACGAAATTGATTTTCAATATACCACGCAAGATTTTCATCTTTTTGAGATCCAGCCTCACGAGGGACATATAAATTTTCATTCAGCAGCTTGATGGTGCTGGTGAGGTCTGTGGTGTCCAGTTTCTCTGACAACTTTTTTTTCAGGTCATCTCAATATAACTGAGGTACTACAGGGAAGTTCTCTTCTGGGTTCTCCACCGCTGGAGACTCTGTTCCTGCTAGTCTCTGACACTCAGTTTTCGGTTCTACATGTTTACAATAGCCCAAGTAGCCAATCATAAATCGAATCACGAAAAAGATGATCACGGCAATAGTCCCATAAATGCTTCCATTACACCGTTTTGGTTTTGCGACACTGGACTTTGTGTTATTGTTGGCATTTTCTTCTTCATCTACAGCAAGTTTCATCTCCACATGACTGTTATCGCCATCTACTTGCCGAGCGAGACTGAACCGGGTATATGACAATGGTTCTCCACCAAACAAGTTAGAGAATGCTGATCTAGCTTGATCCATCATTCTGAACTGCCACACAGAAGAACCTGGCGCGTCCTCTGTCCGGCAGAGCCCGAGCTGCCACCCGAGGTCCCGGCGCTCTCCTGGCATGTTTTTCTTAAAAACAATGCTTCCACTCCAGACAAATCATGGTCAAAATAAATGAAGAGCTCAAGATGACATCAGTCCCATTTGTCTTAAGTCCTGGTGTTGTGTGGATGACAAGCAGAAGCCAGTTATGATGACAGGTAATAAATCCAAAGTAATTGTGAAATTGTTAACATTTTCCCATTTCTAAACCATCCTTAAAGAAAATTATATAGGTGGTTCAACATCCTCACGGTAGTCCAACAGAGCAACCATGCCATCTGGATTCCTGTTTTCACCAACACAGAGCTAATAGATTTTGAAATAAGCAAGAATGTGCTTGATTTGTTCTGCAGCCCCTGTCATAAAAGGTTTTACTCTTTCTGGTCTCTGTTCTTCAAGTTTGCCTTTGATTGATTTCATGTAATCTTTGATGTACTTCTTGTAGGCTTCTTTTGTGAAACTTGTTTCCTGCAGGTAGGTGATGGTTCATGACAACATGGATACCAGTGATTACTGTGCTTTTGGTACCTTCGCCCTCGGGGCCTTCAGCGGAGGCATTTCCACTGATGAGTGAGTCATCAATGTTACTTTCTGTCCTACTGACCATCTTCCCCTCCACCTCCAAGCACAGACTGTCCGCAATCACCTGGATCTTGTAGATGTCGGAGAGCATCTCATCGTGGCTGATGAGGTCGCGGTAGATAATCATGATGGCGGCTGAAGGGAGATGAAGACAACTCCAGCTTAGCAGGAGCCGGAAGCTCTGAGCGAGGTCAGTGCAGCCTGAGCAGCGCTAGTGGGCAGGTGGGAGCAGGCAGAAAAGGCACTTTTATTTTATTACTATAGTCATGTTGCACATTAGCTCTCTAGACTTGTTCATTCTACATATCTGCTACTTTGACATCCCCCCATACCCCTCACTTTAGTAACCACTGTTGATTCTTTAGCCCTGTATATTTGGTCTTTTTTTTTTTTTTTTTTTTTAGTTTCCACATATAAGTAAGATCACACAATTTTCTTTCTTTCTGTGTCTGGTTTAGTTCACTTATCAAAATGTCCTCCTGATCCAACTATGTTGTGGCAAATAGCAGAATAATCCCTCAGACTGAATAAAATTCATATATATATATTTACATTTTCTATATCCATTCGTCCATTGGCGGACACTTAGGTTGCTTATCTTAGCTGCTGTGAATAAGGCTGCAATGAACATGTGGGCGCAAATATTTTTATGAGAATGGCGATTTCTTTTTTTTTTTTTCAGACAGCGTCTTGCTCTGTTGCCCAGGCTGGAAGGCAGTGGTGTGATCATAGCTCACTGCAGCCTCAGACTCCTGGATTCAAGCTGATCCTGCTGTCTCAGCCTCCAAAATAGTTGGGATTGCAGGCAGGCACCACCACACCTGGATAATTTTTTATTTTTTGTAGAGAAAGGGTCTTGTTATGTTGCCTAGGCTGGTTTTGAACTTCTGGGCTCAAGTAATCCTCCTGCCTCAGCCTCCCAAAGTGCTGGGATTGCAGGCATGAGCTAACACACTCAGCAGTGGAAGTGGTAATTTCATTTTCTTTGGATATATACCCAGAAGAAGGGTTGCTGAGTTATATGGAAGTTTTGTTTTTATTTTCTTTAGAAATCTCCATACTGCTTTCCATAATGGCTTTAGCAAACTGCATTCCCAACAACAGTACACTAGGCTTCTCTTTTCTTGACACTCTTACCAACATTTATTATCTCTTATCTTTTTGGTAATAGCCATCCTAACAGATGTGAGCTAATATTTCTTAGTGGTTTTAATATGCATTTCCCTTATGATTAGTGATGTTGAGTACCTCTTAATATATATTTTAGCCATTTTTACATCTTCTTTAGAGACATGTCTGTTCATATCCTTTGCCTATTTTTAAATCAATGTATTTGTTTTTTGCTGTTTAAAGAGTTCTTTATGAATTTTGGATATTAACCCCTTGTCAAACATATAGTTTGCAAATATTTTTTCCCAGTCCATATGTTGCTTTTTCATTACGTTGATTGTTTCCTTCACTGTAATGAAGATTTTCAGTTTGATGTAGTACCATTTATTTAGTTTTGTTTTTGTAGCCTAAGCTTTTGGTGTGATATTAAAAAATTCATTGCCAAGACAATGTCAAGGAGCTTTCCCCCTGTGTTCTCTTCTAATATTTTATGGTTTCAAATCTTTGGCCTTTTATTCATTTTGAGTTGATTTTTATGTATGGTGTAAAGGGTCCAATTCAATTTTTTTTTGCATGTTAAAATTTGTTTTCCCAGCACCATTTGTTAAAGAGACTACCTTTCCCCTTTGTGTCCTCTTGGTGCCTTTGTTAAAAATTAGTTGAAAGAGTTTAAGAGGTATCGACATGAATTCTTCCTTGACTGTGTGGTAGAATTCAACTGTGAAGCTATTGGAAGGTTTTTAATTGCTTCTTCAATCAATTTATTTGTTTTTGGCCTGTTCAACCTCTCTATTTCTTCCTAATTCAATCTTGATAGTTTATTTATTTCTAGGAATTTATTGATTTCTTTAAGGTTAACCAATTTGTTGGCATAACTGTTCATAATAGGCTCTACGGTCCTTTGAATTTCTGGGGTGTTTGTTGTAATGTCTTCCCTTTTCTTTTTCTTTTTTTTTTTTAAGTCTTTTTTTTTTTTTTCTAGTTTAGCTAAGGGTTTGTAAGTTTTATCTATTTTTTAAAGAACCAACTCTTAGTTTTATGGAATTTTTTCCTATAGTTTTTCTGTTCTTTATTTTACTTATTTCTATTCCGAACTTCATTATTATTTTTCCTTCTGCTAACTTTGAATTTAGTTTACTTTTATTTTTCTAGATAATTGAGGTATAATGTTAGGCTATTTATTTGGAATCTTTTGTCTTCTTTAATGTAAACATTTATTGCTAAACTTCCTTCTTAGAACCTCATTTGCTGCATTCCATAAGTTTTGGTATGTTGTGCTTCCATTGTCATTTGCCTCAAGACATTTTTGAATTTCCCGTTTGATTTTTTTCTATGAAACACTGGTTGTTCAGGAGCATGCTGTTTAGCTTCCGTTTATTTTCCACATATTTGTGAATGTTCAAAGTTCTTCCTGTTATTGATTTCCAGTTTCATACCAGATACATAAAGCAAGTTCTTAATGAGTTACAAAGAGACTTAGGCTTCCACACAATAATAGTGGGAGACTTAACACTCTACTGTCAATATTAGATAGATCAACGAGACAAAAAATTAACAAGGATATCCAGGACCTGAACTCAGATCCGGACCAAGCAAACCTAATAGTCATCTACAGAATTCTTCACCCCAAATCCACAGAGTACACATTCTTCTCAGCACCACATCACACCTACTCTAAAATTGACCAAATAATTGGAAGTAATTCACTCCTTAGCAAATGCAAAAGAATGGAAATAACAACAGTCTCTCAGACCACAGGATTAAGAAACTAACTCAGAACCGCACAACTTCATGGAAACTGAACAACTGACTCTTGAATGTTGACTGGATAAACAATGAAATGAAGGCAGAAATAAAGATGTTCTTCGAAACCAATGAGAATGAAGACACAACGTACAAGAATCTCTGTGATGCATTCAGAGCAGTGTCTAGAGGAAAATTATAGCAATAAATGCCCACATGAGACGCAAGGAAAGATCTAAAATTGACACCCTATCATCAAAATTGAAAGAGCTAGAGGAGCAAGATTAAAACAACTCAAAATCTAGCAGAAGACAAGAAATAACTAAGATCAGAGCAGAACTGAAGGAGATAGAGACATAAAAAACCCTTCAAAAATTAATAAATCTAGGAGCTGGTTTTTTTTTAAAAGATCAACAAAATAGGCAGCCCACTAGCCAGATTAATAAAAAAGAAAAGAGAGGAGAATCAAATAGATGCAATAAAAACAATAAAGGGAATATCACAACAGATTCCACAGAAATACAAGCTACCATCAGAGATTACTACAAACAACTCTATGCACATAAACCAGTAAACTTGGAATAAATGGATAAATTCCTGGACATTTGCACCCTCCCAAGCCTAAACCAGGAAGAAGTCAAAACCCTGAATAGACCAATAAGAAGGGCTGAAGTTGAGGCAGGATTTAATAGCCTACCAACCAAAAAAAAAAAAAAAAGGCCAGGTCCAGACAGGTTCATAGCTGAATTCTACCAGACATGGAAAGAGGAGCTGGCACCATTCCTTCTGAAACTATTCCAAACAATCCCAAAAGAGGGAATCCTTCCCAAATCATTTTATGAGACCAACATCATCCTGATACCAAAACCTGGCAGAGACTAAACAAGAAAAGAAAACTTCAGGCCAATATCCATGATGAACATAGATGCAAAAAACTTCAATAAAATACTGGCAAACTGATCGCAACAGCACATCAAAAAGCTTATCCATCACGATCAAGTAGGCTTCATCCCAGAGATGCAAGGCTGGTTCAACATATGCAAGTCTATAAATGTAATTCACCACATAAACAGAACCAAAGACGAAAACTATGTTATTATCTCAATAGATGCAGAGAAAGCCTTCGACAAAATTCAACAGCCCTTTATGCTAAAAGCTCTCAATAAACTAGGTACTGATGGAACATATCTCAAAATAACAAAAGCTATTTATGACAAACCAACAGCCAATATCATACTGAATGGGCAAAAACTGGAAGCATTCCCTTTGAAATCTGGCACTAAACAAGGATGCCCTCTCTCACCACTCCTATTCAATACAGTATTGGAAGTTCTAGCCAGAGCAATCAGGAAGAAAAAGAAATAAAGGGTATTCAATTAGGAAAGGAGGAAGTCAAATGGTCTCTATTTGCAGATGACATGATTGTATATTTAGAAGACCCCATTGTCTCAGCCCAAAATCTTCTGAAACTGAGAATCAACTTCAGCAAAGTCTCAGGATACAAAATCAATGTGCAGAAATCACAAGCATTCCTATACACCAATAACAGACTCAAAGAGAGCCAAATCAAGAACGAACTGCCATTCACAATTGCTACAAAGAGAATAAAATTCCTAGGAATACAACTAACAAAGGATGGAAAGGGCTTCTTCAAGGAGAACAACAAACCACTGCTCAAGGAAATAAGAGAGGACACAAACAGATGGAAAAACATTCCTGCTCATGGTTAGGAAGAATCAATTTTTTGAAAATGGCCATACTGCTCAAAGTAATTTATAGATTCAGCGCTATCCCCGCCAAGCTACCTATGACCCTCTTCACAGAACTGGAAAAAACCACCTTAAACTTCATATGGAATTAAATGACAGCCTGTATAACCAAGTCAATTCTAAGCAGAAAGAACAAAGCTGGAGGCATCATGCTACCTGACTTCAAACTATACTGCAAGTCTACAGTAATCAAAACAGCATAGTACTGGTACCAAAACAGAGCTATAGACCAATGAAAAGAACAGAGACCTCAGAGGCAATGCCACACATATTCAACCATCTGACCTTTGACAAACCTGACAAAAACAAGCAATGGGTTAAGGATTCCCTGTTTAATAAATGGTTTTGGGAAAATGGGCTAGCCATGTGCAGAAAGCTGAAACTGGACGCCTACCTGAAACCTTACACTAAAATTAACTCCAGATGGATTAAAGACTTAAACATAAGACCTAAGATCATAAAAACGCTAGAGGAAAACCTAGGCAAAACCATTCAGGACACAGACATAGGCAAGGACTTC